AATACACACACACAAAGAAAGCTAGTGTTTGTTTGTTTTTGTTTTTTTTGTTTGTTTTTTTATAAAAAAATTTAAAAAAAGATAAATATAGATAAAGTAGAATTAAAATAGAATAGAAAGTGTTAGAATTTTTGTGTTTAGAATTTAGAAAGTGTTTAGAATTTTTGAAACGCCTTTTGAAGTGACAATTTTTAAAACACCTTCTTTTGGGTTCCTGAGATTAAAGAAAGACTTACATATTTGACACAATAAAAGGCTGAGTGATAATGTCAGATTTTTTGTGGGGGTGAACTGTAAATAAAAATAACTTCAATAAAAATAAAAGGTAATATTTAATGGACTGTGTATTTTTTCTAACCTCAGGCTTATTGACTACAACCTAGGCTTTTTTCTTTCTTCAGTTATATTATACCAATAATTTGCATTTCAGATGCTTTGAATGAAATATGTTGCCAAGTAATTAACATCAAAACATATACTTACAAGGTATGGCTGGCTAGATAGTACAGAAATCAATGAGAGGATACTTACGGACTACAGCGGCGGGATAGGTGAGCCTGCAAACAGCTCCTGTAAACCTATAGGCAGAGGGACGATCCAGACAACAACAACTTATTTTGATCAGAGTGAGAACCAGGAGCAGCACTGCACTTCTCTCCATCTTGACAAAGTCTGGAAAAAAAACACAGATGAGCCTCTGTCTTTTACTGTTATTAGGCCTTCTCTTTCAAAAGAGCTCTGTTTTCATTCAGCAAGTATCTGAGGAGGAGGGACAGATCCAGAGGTAGCCTCTTAGAGGAAGAGGGGGGTGGACAGGCCCTGTAATGTCTGATTTGCCATGTCCCTCTTCTGAAGAACAAGAGAGAACATGCAATTGCCCCTGGGGTCGACTAGCACACGTTGCTCAAGGTTACTGGAGGACAGTAAACAGTGCACAGGGACATTTTTTGTGTTTTTCTGAACATTCTGCTGTACAAGACATAAAAGATACAGTCAGAGGACAGAGTGGACAGGAGCAGGCCAAAGTCCATGGAGGTGGACCAGCTCATGAGGAGGTAAAAAGTGCAGACAGAATACCCTTTATTTACACCACCGTTCTAGAGTAGTCCAGTAATTTCTGAAAATGGACAGTTACGTAGATGAATAATAGAAATCCACCGGGATATCATCACCACAGGAGTCCACAGGAAAGACTTTGGAAAGGAATATGTTGTTAACAATCCACATAAAACATGTCTGATGCTTACCAGATGGGAGCCAACAGTCAAATGATTACATTTAGATACGCATTTTATCGAGTTGCGATGTGTTTTTGTGTAATCAAGCTATTGTATTCATCAGAATGTCCAAGTGTGACACAATGCACTATTGAGAAACATATTGTAGAAACTTAATTTGCTGTAAAGTTGCTTTGCAATGATTTGTATCGTGAAAAGCGCTGTACAAATAAACTTGAATTGAATTGAATAGTTAAAGAATTAAAAACACTTTATGTATCTCTGTTCTGATAGATCATGCAATCAAGTGTTCATACAAATCACAACGCAGACGCAAATTGTAACACAACTATAGAGTGTGTAAATGCAAAACAAAAACTAGCTACAATTGCATTATGTAGGTTTGTGACATCACAGAAATCTCACTGGTATGATTTCAGTTGGACGAAGATATGCACATGACATTTTAAAATCTTAAAATTTTAAAAAGTGCATTTAAAGGAACTGGCAGTTTATAGCTCAAGATTAAAAAAACGACAAATTAATAAGAAAAAACCTTAAATGAAATTAAAATGGGTGAGAAAACAAAAGCTACCCTTACAGAATTCAACTCCCATTTATATTACACTTTTCAAGGAATTTTAAAGTGAAATTGAAACAAAGAAAATGTTTATTTATTTTGCCTTTCATTTCCAGGTACAAAAAGGCTTATCTTAATAATGTTAATAACAAAGCTATTTAATCCATAAAATGAAATGACGGCAATGCTACAGTGTTGATAAATATCTGATTAAAAGCATATTTTTAAGTCTCTCAGAACTATTACTCTATTAATTTCTGTTCATGTCAATTGCAAGTACCAAAGTGCAGTTCCTTCATGTAAAGAAGATGCAAAATTCAAAGTGAGGTTCACTCGCCTTCTTTTCATTCAGAGGTCAACAACAAACTCTTCGATGCTCATTGAATTGCAAATTCTGCTCACAAATACTTGAACTCATACCAAACCTCCTTCATAAATATTAACATTTCTCAATTCACAGGTGGAACACAATTAGAAAATAACATATAAGCATATTTTACTTGCATAAACACCATTAACTTCAAAGTGCCACAAATGCATTCTCCCAAGCACCCTCCATCTATTCATGCACTTAGAACAAAATCAATATATGGCCTTTGTTGTCCATCATTCTAGAACCTTAATAAAATAATCCCATGAGTTTAATCCTTGGATCACTCATAGTAGAGCACTTCAAGAAAATGAAGCCCTGTTGACTATGGAGCCTATATAAGAGGATCAGGCCAGGAGACCGATATCATTGATTTCAGCCGTTGCGGTTATCTAAAGTGCTGTGTAAAAAAAATGTCCAGCAAAATTTACAACTCCATGTCCAAGAGCTTGTCTATACAGAATGTGCAACCATTGGTCACATAGTCAAAGGACTGGAAAGTGCTACCATTTCCAGGACTTGTAGCCTTCGTTTATAATGTCCAGTCTAAACAGTCAAGGTCCAATTTTGTCCGACTTTTTCTGCATCAGTTTGCAACACCCTGTGGAGCCTCAGGTATCAGAGAAGCAAAAAAGGCTTTGAAAAACACCCAGGCTGTCCATAGGATGGGTGGTCTAACTGGGGGAACAGGCACTGCCGTCATGGCCAGTTCAACAACACCGGCACCCTCCACTTCAGCAGGGGGCGGCACCTTCAAAACAAAACGAGAATAAATAAGCACATATATGCCTACACACTCCACTTATTCAAGTAAAACTAATTCTTTTCTCATTTGCGTTCTTAAAAGTAAACTATGTCTCACAGGTCCTGGATGTCTATCCTCATTTTGGTTTTGTTGGTTCTGAATGACCTCTGGTGCTGGCTGATTGTGGGGCCTGGCTTGGGGTCTCCGTCTAAAAGGAAACCAGCCTGCTGTGTGTCTGAAAGAGAGAAAAAGAACCATTAGAATAGCTACAGAAAGGCATTCAGGCCTCCATGAACTTCATTTCCATTAAAATGACAACATGCCACAAAATAGACTCTGTTCATTTATACATTACTAACTAACGAAAGGTGGCTCAGACATTTATGGCAGGTTGGGTCAGGTTTGTAACATGGAGGAGATCAGATCATCACACTGAACACCCTCAGATCAAGCTAATGATTGCTGGAGTGCCACGCACTAGTCTGCAGAGCAGTCAAACTGCCATGTTTGCAGAGATAAAGTAGCAGACGTTAATTTTTACCATTCTGAGAACCTCAGTTATAACAGCTGGAGATTAACAAAATGAATTCCAGTGTACCCCAACCGATCTGCAGTCATATACAAGCAGATGTTTTCTTTCTGATCAGAGAGAACCCTGTGTCCTGCTCATTTCCGCTTGCATAAACTACTCATTCCTTTCACATTGCTCAGGAATGCATGTGAGTTTGTACGCTGACAAATGGCTCAGAGCTTGAAGCTACATAACTGAGGGTGTAACTGTCTACAGACACCCATCAAGAACCCATTAACAGATCCCACACTTGCATTCTTCCAATGACATGGACAAAACTATGTATTATAACACTCACATAGAGATACTACTCTACAATTCAGTGGCACCACAACACAAAACATACAGCGAAACCAAATAGTCTGATTTCTGAATTAATTACTTCTAAGAGGTGCTCATTTTTGTGAATCAAAAATATACAGCACAATCAGTGTAGTCCATTCAGCACAACCAGTGTAGTCCATTTCTCAAACAAATGACTCTTATGAACTGGTTCTTTTTAGTGAATCACAAACCTACAGCACGACCAGTGTAGTCCAAATCCCCAAAAAATGACTCAAAAACCATAACCACAAGTTTGTTTACAAAAAACATTTGGTGTTAAGTTCAAACTTACAGATACATAATAACCAGGCTGCTCATGACCAGGATGAAGCGGCTCAGGCTGGAATAGAAGTACACAATGCTCAGGAAGACACCCAATCGGGATGCGGTGTACACCCAATCTAGCCAATCGCGGTTCATGTCCTCCTCGTCTTCCATCACAGGACCACCCTGTGCATTCATTCGCAGATTCTGATTGGCTCCCTCTGGGTTGATGAATGCAGGAGCTGGGGCATTCTGATTGGCTGGCAGGTCGTTGATGGGGCCTTGATTTGGTAAAGCTGCAGGTACAGCAGCTTGATGTGGGCCAACAGGGAGTGAGGAAGCAGGGGCGGCCATTGGAGTGGAGGCGGCGGCTTCCATGGCCGCGTGACTGAAAAACACATCACAGCATTAAACACAGTCAGACGGTTCATTAGCAGAATGAACACCAGTGTAATACTCTAGTAGACCTGTACAATTAATCATAAACCAAATCATGATATTGGTTTTTAATTTAAATAACTTTAAGTTAAATAACTGGAAGTGTAACTGGAATCTATAAATATTAGTACTGTAATTTTACAGTTGTTATGTACAATCAAGTTATTTTATTAAATAATATTTCTTAAATACTCTTTTTTTATTTTACAGGGAAATACAAGTTTGCAATAATTAAATATTAAAATAATATGATAAGAAATACCAGTTTGCAATATCAAGCACCATAACGAGCTGTTTTGTACAGCTAAAAATAACTGGAAGCTATAAATATTAGTATTGTAAGTTTACAGTTATTATATACAATCAAGTTATTTTATTATATAATTTTTCTTAAATACTCTTTATTTTATTTATTCTAATATTTGAATAGTAAAACATTTCATTTTCTGTTATATTTTGTTTGGTAATAATAATACAGTTAAAAGTGGCCAAATTGTGAAGCCCTACAAACAAGCATTTTAAAATCACAATTTTAATCAGAAAAACGCAATTCAAATTTTTCCCAATAATTGTGCAGCCCTATACCGTAGTATGTCTACGTAGGGTGTACTTACTATTGCATGTATGCATGTGCATACATCTGCTGCAACCACAGGAGCTGTTGTGGACTGTAAAGGGAGTACGTGGGAAAGGCTGGGTGGGCCATCGCTGCTGTTACAGGCCTGCAAACAAAGGCGAACATTTAATTAACTAGTACAAAACACTACACAATTTACACATTAACATTCATACACTTTCAATACTCATTGCACTGAATTTTAATTTGAAGGGAAAAGACAGGAACTCACATAGACGTGCCAGGCCAGGCGGCATGACCTCGCTGTCTAAGGCCGTCCGTGGAGGGTACAGAGGTGTACTGGCGGGCATACATCTGCTGCAACCACAGGAGCTGTTGTGGCCTGTAAAGGGAGTACGTGGGAAAGGCTGGGTGGGCCATCGCTGCTGTTACAGGCCTGCAAACAAAGGCGAACATTTAATTAACTAGTACAAAACACTACACAATTTACACATTAACATTCATACACTTTCAATACTCATTGCACTGAATTTTAATTTGAAGGGAAAAGACAGGAACTCACATAGACGTGCCAGGCCAGGCGGCATGACCTCGCTGTCTAAGGCCGTCCGTGGAGGGTACAGAGGTCATGGATGGTCCTGAAGACTCTGAGCTTTGGCTAGCAGTTAGTGGGGAGGGCTGGGAACTCTGCTGCTGTGTTGATGTCACCTACACCCAAGATTTGAGAAAGAAACCTATTTGATTTTTGAGTAAGAAAACCAGAACAGGTGCAAGAGACTATGAAACTTGGTTTATGCAAAAACAGATGCAGAAAGGAACAGGAAGTAAGCAGCTGTGTGGTGATATCTCCACCCAACTGAAACAAACACAGCCTTCCCTTGAGAGACAGTAGGCCTACATATCTGTACAACATACTGTAAGCTGATCAAACATACTGCTTTGAAGCTAAATTCAGGACTTGACAACTAATAAGCGGAATGTCTGTTTTGACATGTACCACTAAATAAGTCTTGCCACTTGGTAAAAGCCTAAAATAAATAGTAGATGGGAATAACACACCTTGGGTCTCGCTCCAAGTTGGGCAGCAGGCTGGGGTTTCACAGCACACACCAGGTGAAGAGTGGGCTTTGTCTCTGAAGGAACCTGTAGGAAAAAAACGGTAGAGTTTTTTTCAGTACTTTTGGCAGAAGCATGTGGTAACGTGCTTTTTGATGTGGCAACTGACATGCACCAAGGGAAACATTATTAGTGTAAGATAATTAAAAACGTCATGGCAAACTTTGTTTACAGGTCTGTTGTTGAAGTCATTTGTCAACTCAACCCTGAAATTAACAGAACGCATCCTCACAGATGGCAAAGTCCCTCACCTTTGAGAAAACATCTCTCAGAAACAGGTTGTCCTGAAGCAGCTTGCCCGAGTAAATGAGTCTTTGGTCTTTCTCAGCCTGTGAAAATGAGTCCAAATGTCAAACATGGACTAGAAAGTCAATTTACACCATGATATTTATCTTATGTTTGTGAGAAGTAAAAACATTTTTAGAGGAAATACATTCAGTGTATCTCTTCACAATCAAAGTTTGCACACGTACCTACTGAATTTGTGTCCATGTAACGCAAATAGCTACACAGTACAGGAATAATGTGCTAAATTATTAATTACCTAACAATATGAAAGCAGCTGCTGGAGTGCAAATTCATCTTGTTTATACAGGGCAAATGATTGACAGTCAGTTATTTCCAGTAGCGTTCAGCCATTCTGGCTTTGTGTTGTCTGTTGAGGAATGCTAAAGGCTCTCTAAGTGTAAAACGATATCTATAGGATAAGAAACCAATCAAAACCTACCGGGTTGGTGGGATAAACCTTGGAAAGATGACATTTGAGGTCTTTCACGGTCCAGTCCACGCGCACTCCATCGATCAGCTGATCGCCGTGAAACTGATTAGGCGTTTTAATGACCAGCGAGATCGTCGCTTTATCCGAGGACTCAGAATTTTCCATTTTCTTTCTTAGTCAAACCAGCTAGAACTATATTAAGAAACGCATAAAATATCTACAGTAATATTCGAAGATTTCGCGACTCGATCAGTCAATAGGACAATATACGGTAGAGAGAGGTTCCTGACTCAAAAAGTTTCGGGTTGGCCATAAGCCATGAAGTATTTGCTTGGCTTGTGTTGTTTCCAAACACACTGTGGCCGCCTGTGATTGGCTGAAACGAGCTCGAGTTCAGACTTAGAGCCTGTCCTGAAGGCCCACGCACTGCGCATGCGCACTGAGAAAAAGCCGTCGGAATTTTTTTTTACGTTGTTTGCTGCAAATGTTGTGATTGCATCAGATGTCTAACGTCCTATGCTGTTACGTACAGTTTTACAGAAATATGAGGGTATGTTTCATGGTTTTAATGTGTGTTGTAAGCAGTGGTGCCATACTGTTAATATTTATGCCCCCATTTTTTTAAAGCGGCCCAGCAAAGGATGAACGCCCTGTGTTATAAACAGTGACATGTGGTCTTGCATATTTAATTCACCCCAAAATGTATGGGATTACCTTTGTTCCAATTAAAATGAATGTAATTTTTCAAGAAACTTATGAAAATATAAATTGAAACTGAATAAAATGTCTTTGAAACTGAAAAAAAATTAAATGCAGGCAAAATCTTTGACTTCGTTTTTAATACACTGCATGTTTTGCAACTGTTTTCTCTTCTTTCATTAGCTGATCTGTACTTACAAATGCGCTTCCAGAGTTTTCATTTACTCTTCTGAAGTTCCTTCTCATAGGCTCACTTCGATGCTGCGATGACGTCATCGCTTTGGGAACATCTTCGGTGTGACGAATGTCTGAAGCCCTTATACCATCACGCCAATTCATTGGCCAAATAGCGCTTAGCACCGCCCCCAAAGCGCACGTAGGTGAGTCATATAGCGTGCTGCCGCTATTTTCATCAGATTTAATTTCCTTCAGGAAGCGAATCATCTGTCGCCCGTAGGAAAGCGATTCTTGTGTTCTAAGCCATCTATTTATATAGAGCAGTTTACTCCTCTAA